TTATTGTTTGGTTTTGTTTTGATTGGGGCTTTGTTAATAAAACAATGAGATGCGAAACTTATTTGTTGTTTGTGCTTAAGTTATAATAATAATAATAAAAAAAAAAAAAACAATAGGCTACAGCTTTATATAAAACATTATCGTAGTAAATTTTTTTATTGGGCTACAATAAGAAATCGAATTAGCTTCGAAAAACAACGAACATTGTATATGAAGAACTTTTATTTCAATAATTATGTTATGATTTTTTGTGTTGTTTATATATTCAATAATTTATTTTTTATCATATAGCGTACTGTGCAATGCACAGATTACAACTAGTATGACTTACTAAGAGGCTTGCCTAATAATAATATTGATCCATCCGTAATCTATCTGATAATGGGAAAAAAAAATAGTATTTCAAATTATAAATATGATTTTGTTTAATTTCATATTTTGTTGCTAGCAAATGTTTATCCAATTTGTATGATTATCATTCCAAATGATGAACTAAGCTTATAGAAACTAAACTTAACACGTTGCAAATGACATATTAATCCATATCAAAATATTGGAGTTCAACAAAAAGAAACTCAATACACCATTGTACTATAGATTAATTATAGTTGCAAAGAAAAGGAAACAAGTGGAGTGGTTGGACTGCGGTTTTTCTTATGAATCTCGACCATTGCATCATAATTGGGGCTGAACTATGGATTTTTTTTTAGAGGCTTCAATTTGCATGGGATCATGGCCTTATTTGGTAATCAGCGGTTAGTTGATAGCTGTTAGCTGATTGTATTAGCTGTTTTGACCACCGGATTGTATTAGCTGTTTTGACCAGATGATTGTATTAGCGGTTTGTGAATGAGTGTTTGGTAATTAGCTATTCTTAATTAGCTGTTAACATGTAAAATTACTTATAAAAACATCTACATAGTTTATTATTCTTATCTATGTGGAACTTATAAATATTTAGAAAATGAAAAAAAAAAATAATATTTTGTATATATATTAAAGTGATTTAAAATATAATAATAATAATAATAATAATAATAATAATAATAATAATAATAATAATATAAATAACAATAAAATGAAAATATTTCTTGATTGAGTAAATAAGTTCATGCCATATAAACAAAGATAATAACAAGTCATCACTATTTAAAAAATAAATAAATAAATATGATTCAAATTTATCAAATTATAATTTATTAATCAATTTATATTTTATTTTTCGTCTCAATTATTATGTTACATATTACATGTATCAATTTTGATTTAATTATTAATATTAATTTATCGATTGTAAAAATTGGATTTTTAATGTCAAAGGTTGTGCGAGAGGAAGTGAACGAGAAGTCAGACTGTACTTTTCATTTAATCGTTATAGATTTTTATGGATTACAACTTTTCTTTTAGATTTTTTTTTATTTTTATTTTTTTTGTAGCTCTCATACATTTGCACGGGTAAATGTACTAATTTAAAATAATCTAACAACAAAATTTTGTGATGTTCAATTTTTTAATGGACATCCATTTTAATTTTGAAAAATGAAGTAAATAATTATTGTACAAAAGAAAAGGTTACATTGTACAATATTTAATTATTTATTTGTTTGAAAATTAATACTAGAAAAATTGAATTCAATTAAACTGACATCAATATTAAGAGCCTCATTATTATTGTTATGTTTAATAACCGAAAATCTAATTGGTTTCACAAATTAGAAATGAGTTACAAAATAAAAAAGAAATATATATAATTATGAAACCGCTAGTATAAAACGCTCCAATGTCTAGCTTTTTCAATTTCAGCTTTTTCTCCCTATCCGTCAAGTAAAAAAGCTCTTTTACCAAACATAATTAATAGCTATTTCATCCGGTCAAACAAGCTGTTTTAGCGTTTTGGCTCAAAAAGCTGAAAACCAAACACAGCCCATGCCTTTCACCAAGTTAGGGTGGAAGTAGATAGCCAGTGTATAGTGCATATGATCAATGGCACCGGTCCCATTTCTGGGGCGCATGAAGCCTTAGTCAAGGCCATTAGGTATTTGTTGAAAATGCTTAGTGTGTTGCTCATTTTCTGTTATTTCCTTTCAGCTCCTTTTTTGTTCTTTTAATAAGTAAAAACGTTGTCGCGTTTTTTATCTTTTCCTCTGGCACTTTTATTAGTTGAACGACGTCGTTTAGGTTATCTTTCAACACGACGTCGTTTTATCTGCTTTGCATGCGTACGTGTATATAAGGTCTTGTACGTTCATTTTCCCTGTTAATGAAATATATGAAAATGGAGAAAATTTTCTCCCCAAAATTCTGAGCGATTCAACATGGTACCAGAGCAGTGATTCTGGATAGTCGAGATTACAGCTAAAATCAGAGAGATCACCATTGTTAACCTACAGATCCAGCTCAATATGCAGCACCAGAGTAAAAGTGCGTGGCCGATTCTAACAGCAAATGCAGAGTCTTCAAGCTCGAAGACGATGGAATCAGATCCGTATTACCTCCATGGAGCAGATCATACAGGTATGATGCTCGTCTCGCATCAGTTGGAAGGAAACAACTTTTTATCCTGGAAACGATCGATGATGATAGCATTGGGAGCGAAAACGAAGCTCGGCTTCATCAATGGAGAAATCGAGGAACCAAATCTGAAGGACGAGAAATATGCCTCATGGAGAAAGGTAGATTGGACTGTACTTTCATGGATCTTAAATTCGTTGTCAAAGGATATTGCAGAATCCTTTTTATATGCTGAAAATTCAAAGGAATTATGGGAGGATATCTGTCAAAGGTATGGTGAGAATAATGGCCCGATGAGGTACAAAGTACAGAGGGAAATATCAGGTTTAACACAAGGAAATAGCACTGTTATGGAATATTTCAATAAGCTTAAGAAACTCTGGGATGAATTTGCTTGTATAGTGCCTATGAAGATGTGTGATTGAGAGAAAGCATAGACACCTTCTAGAAGTGTCAAGAGCTTTCATGTTTCAAGGTAATCTCCCTATGAAATTTTGGCCATTTGCAGTCTTAACAGCAGCATATGTCATCAACAGAACACCTAGTTCAGTTATAAAATGGGAAACACCCTTTGAGAGGCTAACCAAAAGGATTCCAGACTATGAGATGTTAAAACCATTTGGATGTTTGGCTTTTGCAACAGATAATGTTCCACACAAGTCTAAATTTGATCCCAGAGGGATAAAATGTGTGTTTCTGGGCTATGTGACTGGTAAAAAGGGATATCAACTTTATGACATGGATAATAATGCTTTGATAATTAATAGGGATGTGACATTTGTTGAAGAAAAGTTTCCTTATATTGCAGCACCAAGAACTGAAGGAACTTTGCCAGCATTTATTCCAGATCTTGATGCTGAGTCAGTTTATGAGCCACATGAACAAACACTTGAACCACAAACAGAAGTAAGGGAAACACATGGACTTAGAAGAAGTCAAAGGGAAAGGAAGGCACCCTACTGGAAGGAAGACTATGTATGTGAGCCTTCTGCATTCATGGCTCAAGTAGCATTGGAAAAGGAACCCAGTCACTATGTTCAAGCAAGCAAACATCCTCCATGGGTGGAGGCAATGGACAAGGAACTTGATGCATTGGAACAAAATCACACCTGGGAGTTAACCACATTGCCAGAAGGAAAGAAAGCAATAGGTTCAAAATGGGTTTTAAAGATAAAAAGGAGGGCAGATGGGTCAGTTGAAAGATACAAGGCAAGGTTGGTAGCAAAGGGATACAATCAAGTAGAAGGAGTAGATTTCTTTGATGTTTTCTCCCCAGTTGCCAAGTTGGTCACAGTTAGGATGTTTATTGCTGTGGCAGTGGAATATGATTGGAGTTTGCACCAACTGGATGTAAACAATGCATTTCTACATGGACATTTGTCAGAAGAAGTGTATATGAGGCCACCTCCAGGCTACAGCAGTGCAGGCTAGTTAGAAGCTTGTATGGATTAAAGCAGGCTTGAAGGGAGTGGAACATAGAACTATGTCAAAGACTAGCTTCTTTTGGCTTGATACAGTCCACATTTGATCATTGCTTATTTACTATATATGCACAAGGGGTCAGATTTTCTAGCCATCCTAGTGTATGTGGATGATATCTTGCTCACAGGTTCCAGTTTAGAGCTGATTCAAGAACTGAAGGATTTTTTAGATAGAGCATTCACAATTAAAGACTTGGGACTGGCAAAGTATTTTTTAGGGGTTGAGCTGGTGAGAGATGAAAAAGGAATATTTTTGGGACAAAGGAAATACATTATGGATCTTTTAGGAGATATGGGAATGCTTAGTTGCAAAGGAGCTGCAACACCACTACCCCATGGGATATGTTTGAAGGAAGCAGAAGGAGAAGCATTACCACAACCTGATCAATATAGAAGGTTGATAGGACGGTTGTTGTACCTCAACATGACAAGACCAGATGTCACTTATGCTGTGCAACAACTTAGTCAATTTGTGGCAGCACCTTATACAGTCCATTGGGATGCAGCACTTCATGTGTTGAGATATTTGCATGATCACACCAATTTGGGTCTGAAGTTTGCAAAGGAAGGATCCACCAAACTCTTGGCATATTGTGATGCTGATTGGGCAGCATGTAAGGACACAAGGAGATCTATAACAGGCTACTGTATTTTTCTAGGAGGTTGTTTGGTGTCATGGAAGAGCAAGAAGCAGGTTACAGTCTCAAAGTCCTCAGCAGAAGCTGAATATAGAGCCTTAAGCTCCACTGTCTCAGAACTTCTATGGATTTCCTACATTGCTAAGGATCTTCATCTTGATCTGGTTTATCCTATACCTCTGTGGTGTGATAATAGAGCAGCTATTCATATCAGTGCTAATCCGGTTTTCCATGAGAGAACTAAACATTTGGACATTGATTGTCACTTTGTGAGAGATAAATACAAGGCTGGGTTTGTGGCTCCTCAACACATCTCTACACAGCAACAGCTTGCTGATCTTTTCACAAAATTGCTTGGTGGATCGCGTTTCAAGAGTCTCATTGGCAAGTTGGGCATGGTTGCTCATTCCCCATGCACAACTTGAGGAGGGGGTGTTGAAAATGCTTAGTGTGTTGCTCATTTTCTGTTATTTCCTTTCAGCTCCTTTTTTGTTCTTTTATTAAGTAAAAACGTTGTCGCGTTTTTTATCTTTTCCTCTGGCACTTTTATTAGTTGAACGACGTCGTTTAGGTTATCTTTCAACACGACGTTGTTTTATCTGCTTTGCATGCGTACGTGTATATAAGGTCTTGTACGTTCATTTTCCCTGTTAATGAAATATATGAAAATGGAGAAAATTTTCTCCCCAAAATTCTGAGCGATTCAACAGTATTTGCTCCAAAAGGAGTAGACTATTCACCTCCGTCACCTGCATAGAGAAGCGAACTTTGCTGCTGACCATTTGTCGAGCCTAATATCTGCTGTTCCGTTTGGTCTTGATGTGTTGGCCACTCCCCCCCCCCCCCCC